CTCCCCCCCCCCCCCCGGTGTGCTTAAAGTTGTTATGAGTGACCTGTGTGCCTGCCATTTGGCAGAAGGCTGGTACCTGTTCAGTTTTTTCAGTTAACAGAAGAGCTACTGTGCAAAGCAAATCTCTTTATGTTGTAAAATAATTACTTTTGACTTTGTATAGGTTTTTTTCAGATGAAATGTGATTCAATCTATGAAGTTGCAAGATATTTTATGACTTTTTCCCCCTGAGGGTGGAAATTTGATCACTAAGTCCTATTATTTTTAAAAACTTAATTTCTTTGTGTTCTGTATGTTCATGGCAACTGCAGGTGTGTATAAAACTGTACAGTTTCAGAAATTTATGATACAAATTGTGTACATAAAACATTAAAATTGTTTACTAATTTTCATATTTGATCCCTCCTTCCAAATAAAAACAATGCTTTCATACTTTGTAGTAACTTCATTTTGAGTCAGATGGCACATTTGAGAATGGATTCTTAAGGAAGTCCTACCTAATAATTGATGAATATAAACTCTGAATGTTTTCCTAATAAGGAGAAATGTTGCATATGACTGATCATGTTTGCCGGTATTGCTAAGATGGAGCACCCTTTAGCTTTCTGAGAACTTGCACAATATGTAATTTTTTTTTTTAATTTAGTGAAAATACAAAAAAAAATGTCTTCCACACTTCTTGGAATATTTCATGCTGGCCTGGTGACATTGTTGCCTATTGAAGTGAAATCTATGCTGGTAGTAACCAATAAAAAAGAGGCAGCATCACATCAAGTTGGGCTAATATTTATTAAATCATTTACATGAAGGAACATGCTTTTTAACTCAATATTTTCATTTATTAATTACCAAATAATCCACGGCAATGAGGAAAAAATGCAGGGGTGATTTCTTGCTTTGAAATGTGAGCATGAACACAAATGTATATTAACTAAAAATTCCACTGAGATGGTTACAGACTTCCAATATTATTAAGCATTTGCAGAGTTGGTTAATTTTGTATTGTCCAATCCTATTCATTGTAATGCCACACCTAAACATTGCTGCAACAAATAAAAACTGAAATCAAAAGCATTCATAAGAAGCCCATTATACGAGGATGCCTGTCAATGGAACTTTCTCCTGCACAAACCCACAAGAGTAGTAGGCAACTAATTAATTCCAGTGAAGCTCAAGCATGAACGGTCCTTAATATGAAAATGGTTAACTCTCCACCCTGGTGAAAACAGCATGTTGATTTTTTTTAGTCATAGTTGATTTGTATTTTGCTAATCCCTCTTATTTGATGTAACTGTAAATTCAATAATTACTTGATATAAATAAAAATGGAAAAGTCTTCCTTATGGCCCTTTTTAAAAAAAGCTTTCAATCATATTTTTAATATAAGATTTGTAAGTCTATACAAAGGCAAATATACATATTTACATTCATATTATTAAAGCACTTCAGTTGACTTTTTGGCTGCTCTGAGGCCAGGTGAGTCAGCAAAAGAGAAATCCTGCTATTTTGGAGCATGGCTAAGATGTCAAAAGGAATTGCACTCATGCTGATAGAGAACTGGTTGCTGTTACTGTAGCTTAAAGTGTATAAAAGCATCAGCATAAAAATATGCACTTTATATTTAATAGTCTTATGTGGAATCCCTTTTCTTTGTAAACCAGACAATTTCAAAAAACAGCAGTTCTGTTTCACAAGAAATTCTAGTTTGGGAAAATGACAGTGAACACTTTGCAGTTTACTCCCAAGTAAGCATGCACAAGGTGCACTGAATTAATTCCGAGAGCTCAAAAGACAAGTAGCTTTGCCATCCGTGCATATTTCCTTTTGTTTTGAACAGGCAGCCAGAAATCACATTAGTTACCAATTCTAGAAAGGCACAATTAGGAATAATTTGTCAGGATGCATCCAAAATTTGGACGGATGCCATGACAGAATCTGGCTTTTTTATTCCGGGATATATGATTTATAGTCCTAAATCAGGAGTGTGAGAAATAGAACTATAGAAGAAAATGGAGAACAGCAATATGCAGGGTTTTGTGGGAGCCTTCTTTACTTTGAGTAACACGTCACTTTGGCTTAGTCTACTGGTTGATTCCAGCTAGTATGATCTACACCAAGAATTGATGTATCTGACTATCTGTACGTTAAAAAAAAACTCCCTCTGGGAATTAAGCCAGTTTGGAAGTTTTAAGAAAGAAGCCATGGCAAGAACTACATCACAGTTGTTTTCTAGGCAGCTTCCATCTAGAGCAAACAAACAAGGAAATAGTTCCTCCACAAGGGAATGACGGGGCAGGAATCATACTGAGTAGATGGAGCAGCAGTGCCAATTTCCAGTCTTTCCAAATTTAAGGTGGCTTAAATGCCATTTAGTCTGAATGTGATAAAAGATTTTGGCCAATATCCTGTTTGAAGGAAATCATACATAGAATGTTCCTCTCCATGCCCACGTTCTCTTTTAACCCTGCTGTTGCAAGAGGGATCCCAGTAACACACACTCATTGGAGAAACCATAAAATCCCATGGTTTCTGATAGAGCAAACTCTGGACTGTACCTGCAAGCCAGCAGTCACTGGGGTAAATATCGGACCATTGCAGACACAAAACACTTAACATTCCACATTTTGAAATAGGATACTGACATTGTTGTTTCCTAACAAATTCAGAGCTCCAAATTTGACTCTTTTCATTCAAGAGCTCCTCTGTCTAAAGTTACACTATCAAGGTGACTGTCTTATTTTCAGCTTTGTTCCTCAACATCAAAAGCCTCTGTGGTGGAGTAGTGGACGAGGACTCTTCCTGCTCTGTAATGAAACTTGTTTTGGGGGTGGGGCGTGTGTGGAAGCAGTAGTCATAACACTTCCTAAATATCTCATTGTTACGATGGCACGTAACAATAACAATCTGAACATCACCCTATGATGTTCTTAACAATCACTTTTATTACTTGAAATACTGGTACTCTTAGCATGATTTAGTCATACAAGACTAGAAGAGCTAGACTGCTCTGCTGCCAATTAATAGCCATTAATACTAGGCTGACAGGACAAATACTTCCAAAGTTCTGATAGATTTTTGATTTTCCAAGCCTCAATTTACAAAAGCAGGCGCTTGTTGGTTTGCCTACTTTGCTTTCACTAAGGGTGCTGTTAGAGGGAGATTTGTCCCATGGTTTGGTCTGGCTTCAAGACAGGCTGATTTGGCCCCTTTTCCAGCAACCACATGGTTTATGGGCCATCTCAAACCAGCACATCCTTGATCCATGCCTAGCTGTACCTTTTTGGATCTTTTCCTGTGTGTGCAGGTGAGATTACTGTGGTTTGGTTTGGTTCCAGAATGTGTGATCATTGGGATTAAACCCCAGCAGATTGCTTTAGCTGCCTGCTTCAACTTTTTCACGATATTGGGGAGCTGAAAGCTTCTTGCTCCCTCACGGAGGGGGGGGGAAGAGGAAACAATTTTTGAGTTTTGTTTTGTTTTTTGTTTTTGCAAAGCTCTTGTATGGCAATGTTGATGTACTATGACACTCAGAACAAGCTTTTTCCTGCTCCTTCTGGAGGAGGGGACAAGGAGGGGGATTTGTTGTTGTTCCTTTCCTTTCCTTTTTAACTTTCCCTTTAAAGGGAAAGGGAAGGGCAAAACAGGGTCACTCGAGGTATGATGTGGTTTTACATTCAAGAACTGCAACAAATGGCATAACGTCAACCCTATTTATCCTGATCTTGCCTGCTCCAATTCGGCTGTCTAGTCACACCCTAAGATTGGATAACTCAACTTACTTTCCATCATGCTTGACAAGCCCAGACGCTAGGGGTGATGGAACTGGAAGTCTGGATGTGAGAGGGTGGTTTTCAACATCAGTAGGGTCACAGGCTTCTTCTGTGAATTATAATGAGCAGAAGAAAGCAAGAAGAAAGAGGAGCTGTAAAGGGAGAGAATAGTTGAAATAGGGAAGCAGACCTTCTGGAAGCCTGCTCAAAAACCTCTGTGAAGGATTTACATAGTTTTGTAAGAATTGAAAACCTTTGGGGGAGGGGGAACAGTTCTTCGGGTGCAAGACTCCAAGATATCACTTGCTGTACCTTTTCAGGGAATACAGTACAGAAAATCTGATTATATATAGTAAATGTGCCTTTCCACAAGAAAGTCGTTACCTCTTAGCTGCTTCAAGGTGCTGATTCTGCAGGAAGGGAATGAGAACTGCAAGGAGTTTAGATGGGGTGAGCTCTTAGCTTCAACCTCTGCCAGCCAGACTGCAGTCAAAAAGAGTCTATAACCAAAAAATACACTTAAATATCCGCATTGTTCTTGCCTTCTACCACAAACAATATTTCACTCCATTCTGTTGCTTTCCACAGTTTTGCTGTAGAGATTAAATACTCAATATTGACTGAAAGCTAAGCCTTGTGGCATCACTCGCTAGAGGATAAAAATACATACAAACACAGCACTGTAAAAAGGCTCGATGCTTGCTTCTCCTCTCTTCTGGCCAACCTCCACAGGATCAGGGGGGGCTTTGCCTCAGTCTGACACTTTACCACATTCCATGTCCTCTTCTCATTTCCTCTGCTACATTCATTGAATTCTCTTTTCTGAAGACTTTTTTAAAAAAACACCATTTCAAATCCAGGTCCACTTCTCTCTTTCTGTCTCCTGGTGAAATCAACAGGCTAGCAATGGCTTTTAAAGGGATACAAGCTTCACATAGTTGCCTGGGAAAGTACCAAACTGTCGTGTTCTCCTAGATGTGCCTATTGAGAAATAAAACAAGACGACGTGAGAGATGGATCACACCAGATGACTAAGACCCAACCATGTTCTAACTGGAGATGACTGTTTGTCATGTACATTTTGACTTCATGAAAAAGATCCACCACATATTATGTCTTTACATGTGAAAGGTCCCAGATGAACTGTTGGTCCCAGACAAAAACTTCCTAACTCTTAGAGCAGTATGACAGTGGAACCATTTACCTCGGGAGCTGGTGAGTGCTCCAACACTGGAGGCATTCAAGAAAAACCTAGCTAGTCACCTGGCAGATATACTTTGATTGTATTCCTGCAGTGAGCAGGAGGTTGGACTTGATGGCCTTGTAGGCCCCTTCCAACTTTTCTATGATTCTATGGATAGCTCAGTGGACTAGGTATCTGGCTACGGAGCCAGAAGCTGGGAGTCTGATTCTCTACTGTGCCTCCTTGACAGCATCTGGACTCAATGATCCATAGGGTCTCTTCCAGCTCTGCAGTGGTATAATGACGATATCCAACTCAATATTTCTAGATAAGGCTAAGAAAGGCTGTTTATACTGAAATACTAAAGTCTGTCGTTAATAAACCTTTTCTAAAGTCATTACAAGTTAACTCCGTGTTTTTAACTCTGTACCTAATTTAGCTCATTGAAGATAATTGGTCAGAACACATGATGATCTCTAACACTCAGGACCATAAAGGTTGCCTACTTCCCTACAGACAAAACTTAAGATATTTGACAAGCAGTGTGACTCACTAGAATGCAACATCCCACATTGCCTTTAACAAAACCTTGACACCTGCTGGCTGAAATAACAAATAGGCTGATGGGCTACTTGCACCCATTTCTCCTGGAATTATTATCTCTGAACCAAAAGGCATGGACACCTCTCTTTCACATACTAGACTTCTGTAAAGCATAGTTTAATCTTCTGAAGCTTAAGTATATAAAACTGCAGCTGCTCATGTTAATCTTTTATTTGCCTCTTCACTGTTGACTTTTTATTTGTCAATATTTAGACTAAGCTCGTGGAACAACCATTCTGAGCTGTCACGTGTTGTACAGAACATAATTAAATAATATTTCTCTAATTAAACAAAAAAATCAGTCAAAGGAGAGATGATCATCTTACCAACAAACCAGCCATCATCACACTTCTCCATGACATCTATGATATCTCCATCTTTTAACTCCAGTTCATCATCATTCTGTGGGATATAGCTGTAGAGTGCCTGGTAGCTAAGTCTGAAAATTCACAAAACAGCAAGGACTTTTTCAGCAATCGGGGACAATAAACCTGTTTCTGTGAATATTCTTCAGAGGCAATGTCAGTAATGTAAAGAAGACTGAACTGTATTCATGACAAGAGTCTAAACTCTGTCTCTCTCTCCCTGCCCCCAAGCCTTATCCACCATCATTATTTGTTTTGCAAACATTTACAGACAATCAGCTCACTCTCACTTTTATGTGCCAGGACTTGCTGACAAAAAATTTAAAACGTAATATGAGATCAGATGATGATGAAAGATAATCTCCTGGAAGATGATGGCACTTTACTAACTCTTACAATCAGGAATGAGAGAAATAACTCAGGCATTCTAAAAGCATATAATAAGCTGCCACAGACACCTCCCCTTGCATATTAATTTTAAATGACTATAATACTGAAAAGTGCAGGAACTGCTAATCAATATGATAAAAATACTTTTACTGACATCATCCAAGACCCTAGATTCGGTATTAATATTATGTCCATGGAATTATGACAAGTATAAGAGTTAATCAAACTGGAATCTCAATGTTGTATAACCCACTTGGCTCCTGGATTTGGGAATGAAAATATGCCTAAATGAAGTACCAACATGAATATGGCAACCCAGACCTACTTACGTATCTTGTGGGGTATGGTTCCTGTCGAGGGTGGTTTCCAGCGGCGGGACATGTGGTTGCTGAGAAATGATGAGAGATGATTTACTGTCATTAAAGAGCCCCTTGTGACAAGAGACAAGAGGCTGAGAAATTGTGCTGCAGTAATGAACGGACTTTTCAGCAATGTTTAAGATCTCATTGCAAACAGTTTCCTGGAAGGTAGTAGATATTGGGCAGCATTGACATCCAAGAAAGGAAACCCAGAGGACAGCAAACAGGGGAAGGGAAGGGGGAAGAGTCAGTACGTGACGGGACGGACAGTCCAGGTGGAGCACAGAGGCCGAGCAGGGCAACAGAGCGGGAGATCCAGGCACAAATTCCAGGCAGCGGAGTGAAGAAGAAATCCAGGTTGTAAGCATGGAGAAACAGAGGCAAGACACAGAAGAATTTGCTATTTAGTTTTAGATTTTATAACCACGGAGCAATAAAAGAAACTGCAATTAGTCAGTAAAAAGCCTCCCATTCACCAATGCCAGTTTTCAGTACATTTCCAAAGACAGTTCTCACATGCAACTGAAGCTCTCCCTCATGGCTACGTATGCCTATCTGCTCTGGTTCTCTTTATTCAGGGCTGCATCTCTTTCAATCACAAGGGTGACAGACAACACTGCTTGGCCCTGCCCAGCACGGCAGGGCTGCTGGCCAGGTCTGTGAGAGGCACTGTGCATTGATCGACTGAGCCTCCCAATGGCAGGAAGCCACAGCCGGTGTAGCTTTTCAGAAGCCGGGTGTTTGTCATGGCATCCCTCTCAACTAGCTCTGCCTGTGCTTTGGCTTACTCTCACTGAGCTGATGCTGGCCAAACAGCGAGCGCTGAAAAAAATTGGCTCTTTCATCAGGATGGCTGGCTGTTGGGGACCACGGTGTCAGAAAGCAAGGTGAGAGATGCTTGAAGCTGTTAAAAGGCTGGCTAAAGAAAAGCTGCAGATATGAATCTCAGGTGATCTTACCACATAGGTCTTTTCTGATTCTGTGAGATCTGGTCCTGGCCTCAATGACTGATGAGAAGGCTGCATGATCACCAAAGTACATGATAAGGAAGACATTTTAGCACATGTGCTACTAAGTCTGATTCAGATCTTATGAGCAAAGCAACGTAAAAATGGAGGAGGGAGAAGATGAAAATTAATATTCACCACTGGCATCAGAGAACTGAATGAAGTTAAATGTTGCACTGTGACTGCGACAAGAAAGATCAGAAGCAGGGAGGAGAGAATGGAATGAGGGATTAGCAGCACAGAGACAGACGGTCAACAATATTATGAGGCTACTCTTTTTCTTTTTTTGTGCGTGGGGGGAGCGGGGCTAATACATGTAGATGGATTAAACCTATGGTAAAGTCCTGCACTTTCCTGCTATTTTCTTACGGGCAATGCTTTTGTTTTACAAACCATGGTGTGTATGTCTTCGTGAGCAAGCAAGTGAGCAAACGGAGAGATTGGGCAACTCCCAGAGGCACGAAAAGTTATGTGTGCATCTCTTTACAAGAAAAATCCACTTCACACTACTTTGCGGCTGAAGGGAGCAATTCTGCTTATGCTTGTTTGCTCACTCCTCTTGAGTTGTTTTCCAAGAGAGTTTTGGTATGGAAACAACCTAAAATAGCTGAAGGAAGACTCAAAACATGATGAAAGTGCCCCCTATCCTCCTCAAAGGCACAGGGGGACCTTGTAAGCAATTAAAAAAAATTAAAGAACTGGCGGGAGAACGTGGGGTGCTGGAGGCCACATGGAGGACCCTATGGGCCACCTGAAGCCCACCAACTACATCCTGCCCACTGAATGGGGCATTAGTGTGGGTCTCTCTCTTTACAACTAGAAAGATGATGGAGTATCAATAGCCAGGCTTTAATGCAAAAGTGGCAACTCAGTGCCTCTCCAGGCATTGTTGATCTCCAACCCCAGCCAGCAAAGGGCAGTGAGGAACAGTTGCTGTTTTATAGTAGCATGTTGTCAAATTTGTTGGACCTGTTGTTCGGATGTTCTCCATCCAGATAAATGCAAAAGATGCACCTGATCCTAGATTAAGCAAAATCTAAGTTATCACAAAAAGAGCATGAAACATCAAAATTTTAAATCCCAACCCCTGCCCTGGTTACCTGTGGTATGTTGACCCTGCATGTGAGTCTGGGAGGTAGTTGTGTTCTAACAGCAAAGGAAGAAATTGCAGAGGGAGACAGAAGAGCAGTTGGAGAGAGTGGTTTTGCATTTGCAGACTTTCAAAAGGAAGGAAAAGTTGGTCAGTGAAGAGCAGTGCCCTATTAGCAACATCATTATAGTAAACATGTTCTTACAATAAAGAGTCTGCCACAATGTGACACAAACAGATCAAATGCAAAAAGCAACCATGTATTTTAAAATGTGTCTGTCCTATGTTAGTTCTGCAGGATTCATGCGTTCTCAGTGACTGTTAGGCCAATGATTTATCTCAGCTATAAACAGAAATCACTTAATATCCATGGGGAGATACAGCTACTTAGTGGCTTAAATCAGGTTCTTTCATGCTCCAAACAATATTCTCAATCAATATGTGACATGTGACTCCAGCTCAACTTGTAGAAGGTTACCTTCTCCCCTCCTCATACCAATAGGTTAGCTCTTTTCCAGTTTATGACCCACTTCTTTCTATTCCTTTAAAATACTTCTCCCCTTCTTTTCTTTTCTTTAATTTTCTGTTCTGAGCAGGCCTCCTGAACCCCAGCCAAATGTATCCATGCCCTGAAATGCACGAGGGGTACTAGGCGGACCAGAAGAGAGTGCCTAATGGTGCCTGACGAGGGCACAGCCTGATGGAAGGGGGAGGTATCATTATTGGCCAAACTTTTCAAACCAAGTAATAAACAGTCTGACACCTCACCTTCAGATTTTAGCAAGCTAAGCCAGTTTATCTTTAATAAGGTTACCTAGTTTTTCTTTCATTTTTACAGTGGTCCATTAAAATAGCTCACAGTAAATTTTATATATTTATTTATCGCAGAATCTTTAAACTGCAGAGCTGGAAGTGACTCTATGGATCATCGAGTCCAGCCCTTGCCAAGGAGGCACAGTGGAGAATCGAACTGCCAACCTCTGGCTCCACAGCCAGGGGCCTAAGCCACTGAGCTACTGTGCAGTCAATTAGTCTGTCTGTCTGTCTGTCTGTCTGTCTGTCTGTCTGTCTGTCTGTCTGTCTGTCTCTCTGTCTATCTATCTATCTATCTATCTATCTATCTATCTATCTATCTATCTATCTATCTATCTATCTATCTATCTATCTCATTTACTGCACACTATGCTCAAAACTATATGTTTTTTTCCCTCTCCATGTTACCCTCACAACAACTGTGTAGGTAAAATTAGGCTCACTGGCCCAGTGAGTTTCACAGGCAAGTGGGGGACATGCGCTAGTACTCTAACTACTCCACCTCACTGTCTCCCAAATAAACATCCCAAAGCTTCCACATTCATTCTCCACATCCTTGAGAGGCAAAACATTTGAACTCCAAACCTGTGTGAAACCTTATGGTACCAACCCATACCACAGCAGGACCCACCCAAAATAACCCTCATTCTGTTAATTCCTTAGATCTTCCAAATCAACAGAATGTCTTATCATCAAGCTAAAAAAAGAAAAAAACTACAGAATTTATTTGCTACAACCATGCGTAACCGAGGCTGGTTAATACGTGGCATCCTGCTCAACCCACTAATAAAACCATGTAAATTGCAGGAGTACAACACACACATGCAGAAAAAGTACCTTAACAGCCCTGTTTTGATTCTCCCTCTGTTCAACATGTTTATAACTGCACATCTCCCTTTTGCGGGGGCCATCTCCCTGCTCCTGACATAGTCTCCTCTCCTCAGAAATGTGAAGAGATTTCTTTTGTGGGCTAACACTTTTCTCCAGCTCTGAAAGGCTCCCAACTCTAGGGATATCAGGAACGGCACTGTGCTTTTTGCTGGCTGTCAAGCAATCCTCCCTGTCAGGGCTTCGTCTGACTCCTCTCCTCTTCTGCAACTTGTCTTGGTGGTCAGCTCCATCAATGGGCTCTGAAAGGAAGCTACTGGGGCTCCCAACTAGCGAGTAAGGCGAATTACAGTTGCTCGTGTGAGAAGGGGACCTGGCAAACTTTTCCTCACTTTGCAGAGTTGTCAGACTAACGTTCTGAACGGACAGCTGAGACTCCCACGGGGAAGGAGGCAGTGGGGAAACAAAAGAGGTAGGTGTTGAGGAGCTGGAGATGTTAGAAGGGTGAAGGCTAATGGAAGGCGAGGGGCTCGCCACTGCGGAGGGGATGAGATAATCCATGTTGCAGAGAGAAGCATCAGGAAGAGGTGGCAAAGGAGGGGTTATGGCTGGTGTGTGGCTATAGGATGGTCCCAAAGTCAGAGAAATCCATTCTGAGGTGACGGCCTGCAATTCAGGAGATATGGCTGGGCGAGCAAAGGGCAATGGCGGTGGGGTTGGTGTGAAAAGCAACTCAGAGCTGTGAGACTTCAAGAACACACACACAAAGAAAGAAAAGAAAAAGGGAAAGAAAAAAAAGAGAAAGAAAAGTTACTTATTCTTTTTTTAAAAAATGTAAAGGAAAAACGGCAAAAGAAATATGGAGAAAAATGGAAAAGTTAGAGCATAGCTGAATACAGAGGTGGCAGAATCAAATGTCCAGGACTCTAATAGCCGTAGCATTTGCCGGCTCATGCGTAGGGCTCCAGGGATGGTGGTGGCACTTACCCTCTGTTCCCTATTGTCCCAATGCACTTGGAGGTTTACTAGACCAGAGGATTTTGCAAGCACAGGCTCTGAATTGCCATTACAAAGCCCTTTGCAGTCCTCCTTCAAATTCAACAGATGAAGGTCTATGTCCAGGACTCTAATAGCCGTAGCATTTGCCGGCTCATGCGTAGGGCTCCAGGGATGGTGGTGGCACTTACCCTCTGTTCCCTATTGTCCCAATGCACTTGGAGGTTTACTAGACCAGAGGATTTTGCAAGCACAGGCTCTGAATTGCCATTACAAAGCCCTTTGCAGTCCTCCTTCGAATTCAACACATGAAGGTCTAGGATGCTGCTGGGCGCAAGGGGGTGCCTGGGGGAAAGGCTTACACGTGCCCACATCTCTCCCCCCCCAATCCCTTTAGCCCTACATGGGCTTCTTCCACGTCTCTGTTGTTTCTACTATGCTCTCTCTGGGGCACAAACCAGAAAGAGTCCACAACTTCTCACTGAAAGAGCACTGCTCTGGGAACTAAAGGGTGTGCCATCTGTCTGGTTGATTACAAAACCTGGTCATCATCCTCATACACCTCTGAAGGGAAATTCCACTCTTTGTCTACAGCATGACACAGATTAAAGAGAAAGGAACTAGAGAGGAAACAAGTCGTTACCCAGGTCCTGAAACACTGGAAGTTTCATTCTACACACACACTCTGCAAACACTAAAAGGCTTGGACTCCACACCCCTCGCATACAGAAAGAACTCATTGTATCCAGAAAGGAACCCTGTTAAGGCAGCTTAGCATAGTTTAGGACCCTGCCATGCAAAGGGATCTGGGGCCAATCAGGATCATCCCTCATAAGAAGAAGCAGTAGCTCTGCACATATGCATTTGCCACGTTGGTGGAACGTACATGCTTCCTCACACATTTTTTTTTCAGTCCATGAGGGTAAAGTTCAGACTCTGGATTTATCTTATTTCTGGGGCCTGCATGTTATGCTTAATCTTTCACCCAGAAAAAAAAGGTGAAACATAGCCCTTCAAGTTCATATATTTATATTTATATATTCATATTTATATATTTAGTCATATGTTTTTATTAATTATGAGTTTGTTCAAGAGAACTGTTATACCATTTTAAATCATTCTCAGAATGTTATTCTGTTCACCAATCAGATGATTATGTGCATTATCAATTCATCAAACCACAGAACCAATAAAAACATGTGACCGTGTAGAATCAAAGACTTGGGGAGAGATGTCATCCATTCAGTCCAGCCCCTTCATGCACGAAATCCAGGGCCACAGGAACCCTACAGACACCATGAACATGATTCCCACTCCTCCAGGTAACTGATCGCACTGCCCCACTCACTGTTCTTCCTCTCAGAACATTTCCCCTAATATTTAACCGAAAAGTGTCTCCACATAACTTCCGCCTATTAAATCTAGACCTGTTTCTGCAGGCTTGTGCACCAGCAAAGAGCATGGCTTAGAACATCTGGGAGACAGGATTTTGGCAAAAATAAATTTTAGAGTAAATTAGGAAGCCCAGCTCTGTCTCCCTTCAGTGCATAAGCTGTAAGGGCAAATCTTTCACTCTCTGTCTCAGTCCTTGGACTGCCAAAGCAGAATAGTAAAGATGAGTAAAGAGGATGATGAGACTCTAGCAGCTCAAGGTGGAAGAAGCAAGAAGCATGGCAGTATAGCAATAAGCCCTTCAAGAACCACAGTAACAGCTAAGTCACCTCTTCTAGGGGGCACAGATGAGAGTAGAGGGACAGCAAGGGGACCGAAAGGCAAACTGCTGCTGAACTCTGGCAGGAATCACAGAGGAGAGATCCTTGGGAATATGGGGCTCATCCTCTCTGTGGTGTTATCCCCAGATGTTCTAGGGTTGGGCTGAGTCCTTGCGGTGCTTTTTGCTCCAGATCTGAATAGATCATTTGCATGCTGGCGTTCGCACACAGGGAGAGCATTTGTTGCTAGATGTGCTGAAGTATAAAGGGTTGTTCCAGTACCACATACATCCAGCTAGTTGCCTAAAGTCTCAGTTCTCCACACAGATGGCTGTCCCCTTCTGCTTATCTTGTCTACCCCTCCTGGCCTGCATCACTCTTCCCTCCACTTTCCTCCTTTACTCATCCATCATTCTCGAGCCTTCATGTTTTTAATGCAAAGCTTTTTTTAAAATCTTAACTTCTGTGCTATAGTACATAACTGATGACATTAAAAATAAATAGATAAAAGAAGAACATGGGAGCAGTTGATATTCCAAGAAAACTCAAAAGCAGTGGCAGTTAGGCATGGAGGGTGGAGAATGTCCAGTAGGAAAATGCCCATAGTGAAACACCATCAAATGACAGATGCTCACCACGCACACAGATCAGCACTCACCCCCCCATGAACAGATTCTGCATTGGAGCAAGGCAGAGCAGGGCAGAAAAACAATATTACTACCACCCAGCAGTGGTATAAAAAAGCAAAGTTTTCTGTTCTGCTTTGACTCTGTTGATGCTAGTTTCAGCCTTGGATTTTGTGAGCATTGGAGTGTAATATCTTTATCATGGGTGCAGGAAAACTTAAATAAATGTTCAGTGTGGACAGATCCATGGAGAAGAAAAGAAATGTGAATCGAGGAAAAATGGGGGGAAGAGGACAATGTGCATAATATTTGCTGCCTTTCCTGAAAGGCTAAGGAAGGATGTGAGGGCCTAATCAGAGGCTTTCCTAGAATGTGTAGCTAGCCCCTCCCCAGATAGCTGCTAATTGTAAATTCTATTGTAAAAACTGGGGAGTTTTTTAAAAAACAAACATCCTTCCTTTGGAGGCTTGGGGGTGGGGGAGAGAAGACAGAGATCCTGTTCTGCCAGAAGGCTGAGGGTACCAGCTGCAAGAACAGAACTCAAATCAGACCAACAGAAACACAAAGCATCCTTTTTTGGTTGTTTGATTCTGAATTCATTTCTTTTTGCTAGTAGATTATGGGTATAAGTAAGAAATTACAGAACTTGAGTCAGATCAATAGGGGGGGAAAGATAAACCTAGAAATTTTGCTCAAAGTCACAGCAACAGACATCTATAGGCTCATAAAAATAACTGTTAACAATGACAGTTAACTTAATCATTTATAAGACAAACTAAAGAAACAAAAAACTAAAAAAGCTCTCTACTAACAATGGTATCAGTCAACTTTTTTTTTAGCTTTGCACAAACAGTGAAACAAATTCCACTTAAAGCAATGCTACCCTATTAAGATTTTTTTCCTTTTCTTTTAGCAACTGGAGCTGGATTCAAATATTTCATGTCCCAAAACATGTTTTTTTTTTCTGAATGACGTGCACTCCCACTTTGCATGATAACTATTGGTGTAAGTTGTCCCCAACTCAAGACTAAAGGAGAGTGGCTTGATGTTAATCTATGATGTTGCTTTTTATGCTGCGACTGAAATCATAGGGCCTAGTTATCTGAAGCTCTCAGCACATACTGGTTCTCCTACAGGACAGCCTGAGTAGCATGTGTGGGCAGCAGAATAAAAGTTCCCTTATGAACAACTTTGAAACATGTGAATGGAGCACGCACTACATTTAGCAACATCCAGAACTCCAGTTCCAGGGAACAGGGTGTTCCTGTCCTGAGATAGTAGTTGGGCATAAATGCAAAGATTGGTCAATGCAAAGATTTGTCATTCAAGCATATGGACAGCAAATGCTCGCTCCTTACTCCCTCTGAATCCTCACTTGGGGGGAACATGGTTTTTATGGAGAATGACATCCTGTAATTTTGGAAGGTTTATTTTAGGTACCTGTGGGGAAGTTGTCAGGCTGCGATTCATTGAGTGGGAAACGGGTAGGTTGACACCGTCTTGCGTGTTCCTCAGCACAGGCTGCTTAAGTATATCCACATACGTGACAGGGAAGATGCCTTGGCGACTGGTGCCAATGATTTTTCCTTCATACCAGTTCTCATCCACTTGTCGGATCAGGGTAATAAAAAAAAAAAAAAAAAAAACCAAACATGATAGCCCACAATAGATGCAAACTTCAGCCTAAGAACTACCCTCTCCAATACTCCTAACTCTCATGACAAAAGTACAGTTCTGAGTGGTCTCTAGGGAAAGGCATACAAAAACTGCTTTTCTGGGAAGCATTTCAAGATGTCTTCCCCTTCACAACTGTCGGTCACTTAGTTTTACTTTGACCATTCTTTTCTGTAGTCTGTATGTTGTCCATTGATGTCATCTTGGGTTCATAAAATTGAAGGCAGAAATAAATAAATAAATAAATAAATAAATAAATAAATAAGTAAGTAAGTAAGTAAGTAAGTAAGTAAGTAAGTAAAAGAAAGAAAGAAAGAAAGAAAGAAAGAAGAAAGGAAAGAAAGAAAGAAAGAGGGAGGGAGGTAAGGAAGGAAGGAAAACTTGTCTTGCATCCACTGGTCTAGATGGGTGGGGTATAAATCTAATAAAATAAATGAAAATAATAAAATAAAAAATAATAAATAGAGAGAATTATGAGCCATCAAAAATTGTATTTCCAAGTAAATTTATTAAGATCACTAGTTCAGTATACTGGGATATTCAGGCTAGAAAGTGTTGATAGAATTATTCTTCATGAATGTGTTTAGTTCTTTTAAAAATAGTAAAACTACACATTGTCAAAATTTGATTTGGATAAATTCCACTGCAATGAAATCACTTTTGAGATAAAGAACTTTCCCCTAATTTATGAGATACATCAGTTGTACCTTTCTGAAGGACATTTCCACTTCAGTGTCCCCATTGAAACTGAACTTGGCAATGGCGTCTCCATATTCCAGAACTTGCAGCTGTGGAGTTTTCTTAGGTTGGGGTTTTTCTCTGGGAGGAAGTAGCTATTTAAACAAAAACAAAAAATGAACATCACAGAAAGTACCGTATTTTTCTGTGTATAAGAACCATATTTTTCCGTGTATAAGACACCGCCCAAGTATAAGACCCCCACACTCTTTTCTAACACAAAATTAAGAAATCTAAGCGGGGCTTAGCAAGTAGAGGGGGAAAGCAGGGATCAAAGCTCTTTGATTCCTTCCCCCCTCCTTACTTCTATGTATAAGGCAAACCTCAATTTTTAACTTAAAGATTTTAGACAAAAGTATCATACACGGAAAAATATGGTACATGTATTTTATTTTATTTATTATTTTATTAATTACATTTCTATCCTGCCCTTCTAGTGACCAGGCATTAGTATGGATGGCTAACAGTAACAGAAAATAGCTACTAACCCTCCGCCAGCAACGCCTAAGTAGTAGGACCCAAAGAAGAACAACAGCAGCCAAAAAAATAAAATTGACCCTGAGGCAATGGTAAATCAAAATCAACATTCAACACATGGATCCACAAGAATGTCAAAGGGGTAGGATGTTTCTAAAGGCCTATTCAAATAACACAGATTGTACAAAAAAAGACTCACAACTTCAACTGAAAGTTAGAGCAAAGCAAGTACCTCTACATATGACTGTGGGAAGATGCCCACTCTCCCGTGATGTTCTCCTTCATACCAATTCTGATCTATCTGCTTATAAATGTAAACAATATCCCCTTTCTGAAGTGGCAGCTCCCTGTTAACAACACAGAGGTTATGAACTGATTGTTTTGAATAAAAACATTTTGCTTAATATACAGTATATTTAAATTTAAATATTAAAATGCACACAAAATCACTTAATATCTATCTATCTATCTATCTATCTATCTATCTATCTATCTATCTATCTATCTATCTATCTATCTATCTATCTATCTATCTATCTATCTATCTATCTATCTAGCTAGCTAGCGAGCTAGCTAGCTAGCGAGCTAGCTAGCTATCTATCTAGCTATCTATCTAGCTATCTAGCTAGCTAGCTAATTCATTTCCAAAAGAGAAAATAATTCTGATTTATAACAAAAAGTTATGATTGAGGTTATTCTTTTTCATTTTCTAACAAGGTAATTCAGACCACAACAGATCCCCTATCTATCTATCTAGCTAGCTAGCGAGCTAGCTAGCTAGCGAGCTAGCTAGCTATCTATCTAGCTATCTATCTAGCTATCTAGCTAGCTAGCTAATTCATTTCCAAAAGAGAAAATAATTCTGATTTATAACAAAAAGTTATGATTGAGGTTATTCTTTTTCATTTTCTAACAAGGTAATTCAGACCACAACAGATCCCATCTACAGTCGTGCCCCACTTAATGATTGCCGTGCATTACGACGAATCCGCTTTACGACAATGTTTTTGCAATCGCAAAACAATGGTATAAATGGGGGAATTTCACTTAGTGATGATTGGTTCCCTGCTTCAGGAACTGATTTTTGCTTAATATGATCAAAAACAGCTTATCGTTGGGTTTTCAAAATGGCCGCCAGATGCTTAAAATGGCTCCCCACTGTGCATAGGGACGGATTTCTCGCTATACAGGCACCGAAAATGGCCGCCGTATGGAGGATCTTCGCTGGACTGTGAGTTTTTAGCCCATTGGAACGCATTGAACGGTTTTCAATGTGTTTCAATGGGATTTTTAATTTCGCTTTACGACGTTTTCGCTTAACAGCGATTTTCCTGGAATGGATTATCATCATTAAGCGAGCCACCACTGTATAATCCACACTCAAAACATGTAAATTGATGCACCCTTTTTATAACTTTCCCAGTCACACAAAATAGACACAATAGCACAACACCCCTTGCCACCTTACTCCATATTTAGTGCATTACTAATATTGTGAAAGGACTGAAAAGAAACACAATATTCAATATTCAGAAGGCCTGCAGCCTTCTGGTGGTGCTGGTAGCACCGGTGTCGGCTAGGTGAGGTACACCACCACCAGAAGTTTTGGATTTGGGCTAAAGTCCACGTGACTTAAGCACAAATCCAAAAAATACGCTTGCTCTGCTGGTTTATTCAAGCAGCGAGAACAGGCCCCATGTGACACCTTAAGATGCTTCCTGTGGCATAAAGCCTTGTGCAGCTATATATAACCCACATTCTGAGATACAGCTGAATAAGTCATCTGTAGTCCATGGAAGCTTATCTCAGTTCAAGCTTGTTATTCGTTCAGGGGCTACAAAACTTGATGATTTAATTGCAACAGGCCTTCATAGTATCAACATTGCCACACAATCCTATTCACAGCTATGTAACATTGACCACTCCAGTCAAACGGGATCTGTATTTGAAGTAAATCTTGTTGCATCTCATGGGCTTTAGTGGTCTGAGATAAGCAGAGGCTTTTCTTTTCAAAAAATTAAAGAGTGGAGCTCATCTCGTTTACTCACTTGAGATGGAAGTTATGCTACAAGATAACCATGTTTTGAGTGAGGATGAGGGAAGGAGGGTGATCTATGCATCAAGAGGTGGAAATAATACACTCATTTTAACGCATTAATGTTAAAACTCGTTTAGTTTTTCTAACAAATAAGGCACAAAGTCAGCAATAAATATAATGTTCAAAAATAATATAGCTTTTTGAAAGTAACATTATTAATGTCTTTGCTTGTTAATTATTATTCATCATTGTTAATTCTGGCTTTGCCCTCTGCAGAGGTCACGTGTGTGGATATTCATTCCCCTTAAGGAAGGAACCCACAAATATCCAACATCAGGCGGGGTTTAGAAGCAGGAGTTCCCATACTTGGTCCTCTATAGGGTGTTTTTGAACTACAACTTCCAAAAGCCTCAGCTGACATCGGAATAGGTCAGGACTCCTAGGAGTTTCAGTCCAAGAACCCATGGAGCCCCAAGCCTGGAAATTACTGCTCTTACACGGAACTAATAATTCTTTGATCATTTTTACACTGATTTCTCTAACACCATCCTACAAAAGCCATTGAAGAAAGTACAGTGAGTGGTAAAGAAAAGCTTAATTTACTTTAAATCAACAGTATACAATGCCCTGGCTGTATCAATTTATATATATATTTTAATTGTATTTTAATTGTTCTGAATTTTAAATGTTGTAAGCCGCCCAGAGACCTTTGGGTAGTGTGGGCGGCATATAAATCAAACAAACAAACAAACAAACAAACAAACAAACAAACAAACAAACAAACAAACAAAAATTACTTCCCCAAAAGAGAAGGAGGAACTCCCCACCCTCTCTCAGCACAGAGGAATGGGAAGCTGATTAACTGGTAGCTGGAAGAGAGAACGAGACATAAACCTCTTGCTAATCAGATTAGGAGTTGGAGAAACAGCATTTACACTCCTCTTCCTGGCTTACTTAAATGGACAAGGGAGCCAGCTCTGCTGAAAAGCAGATGGAGAAGGAAGACCTTGGGCAAAAAAAGGTCTTTGTGGGAAGGGACAGCTTCTCTCCTGTCCAGCTCAACTGCTCCTATCCCAGCCCCATATTCAAGTAGTGCCTCCATTCACTTGGCCTGGAGCAGAAAGCCTGCCCTTGTCAAATAGCAAGGTTCTAAGAGCCCTTGTTCCAAGAAGCCCTGGAGGACCGGGGGGGGGGCTCCTCCCCAAGAAGGCCTGGTCCACCTCAGGGTCCTGGGCTTGGTGTGCACTCCCATCTCCTTGACTCTTTTTTTTTTTTTTACCAACATGGCCCTGGGCAGGAAGGTTTTTTTGGGTTTTTTGTTGTTGTTGTTTTTTGGCACCATCTACTCCTGTAGTGGCAGGACAGCTTATGCTTCTCTTCCTATCTGCTAAGGAAGAGACCTGCATCTCCATGAAACACTTTTAGTTAATAACAACGATGAATAAATAATAGCTAGAAGCAAGGACAAAAATTGCCTAAAATATACAGAATGTTTTTTTTTAAATGGTTTAATGACAAGTCTCCCTGGGAAGGGAGACAATTAAGCAATTATACTCACTTCAATGTCTGGGCTTTAAAGTCAAACTTTGCTCTGGCAGCTCTCATCTAAGGATTGAAAACAGTACATTAAAAACAACTGCCAAACCATCGGCACATGGACTGAAATGGGACAGATGCATCAGCCACACAGACTGTGGGGTGGGGTATACATGTCTCGTCAAATATCGATTCAGTTAGTTTGTTCCCTTGAATGACTGAGAGCCCATATCAGATGTAAGGGGTCCACCAGGAAGTGGGAATCAGGGAAGGAAATTCCAGGCCCTGGACAGTCAGCGGCAAAAGTCCCACTTTCTGAAATTTAAAAAACAAAGCAAAAACAAAAACAAAAAAATAAAACCCCAAGGGGTAAGGAACAGCTGCATTTTGATTTTTCTGATACCACAAGAATATATAAAGCCAGTTGGTTCAGAGGCCTTGATCACTCCATGACAGCTTTACATGGCTGCTGCCTATGGCGAGATTGACAGCATGTCGTCTGAAGTGGGGGTTCCTTCAATAATGAAAGATATCTCTATCACAGCACAAAATATCTCCACGTCTGTATCCTTCAAACTGACTTGTTTTGTTGTTGCTGTGACTGGTCATCAGGGGTCAAACATCTGCAGGCCTGATTCTTCAAGTGTGCAGCTGTCAGGGAATCACACTGCTGGAGAATCAAACTGCTCTCAGCTTCTAAACGAGAAGCTGGCATTTCCAGTACAGTCCTTAAAGACCGTTACAGGCCATATCAGAAAGAAACACAAAAACAGATTTACCTAGGCAGCTGATAGGGATAGGATACAGAGGCTACAATCAATTCTATGTAACAAAACAAAACAAAAAAGCCTCTGAAAACAAACAGCAGTGACTCCAGTGACAAAAATGAACCACAGAATTTAGAATGAAACCCCCTTCTGATACGTCTGTCAGCAGGCCTGATTGCCCTAGGTAACAAAGGTGTCCCCTCTTTCCCAACACAACATTCTGAAATGTTACCGGGGTACCCCTGGGGACACTCCCAAACAGTCAGCTATATCCCTGAACAGCTTACAAATGACAGGCTTTGTGTTACTGACTGGCAAAAAAGAGACAAAATGGAGGAAGAATGGAGAAAAGATTAAAACATCTTCCATAGTTCTGAGGGACAAGGAAGTAATATTTTTAGTTTAGAGAAAAGGAGAAGGTTAGATGATGCCATGGGCTGTATCCAAGAACACAGGCACATATATTCTTCGGATACCTGCTTTGAAAAATGGGCGATCCCCATGGAACAACTTTGAAAAATATTTATTGTGAAATTTTGCTGATGTTAAAGATAATAGGGAAGGCTGTAATTTCTCTTCAGATAAGGATTATTTTCTTAAAAGATCAACAAGTACTTTAACTTTCAAATAAATAGTGGAAAATTCCACCTCTTGATTACTAAATAGAACATAACAGTTTAGTGGAAAGATTACGCCATGACCTTAACTTTTGTGAACTACAAGCCCTGAGAGGGAAAAAAATAACTCCCCCCTTTTGTCTCTTTTGCCTTTTCCTTTCTTTTCTTTAAAAATCAAATCTCCAAAGATAAACTTTTTTGTTGGTCTATCATGAAGGAACTTAATAAAAAGGAAAGGAAAGGAAAGCATAGAAAGAACAATGCCATCAAGAGTTTAATCCACTCTAGGAGAATAACATAGTCAGAATCAACAAGACAATGAAGTTTCTAAGCAGAAGTTACACACAAGGAGAGAATGAAGCATTATGTGTTGCAAAAGATGAAGCACATGGCCTCTGATTTGCTATAAAAATGATATTTTAAAGGCATGCATCACTGTTTTGCACTAGCAATGTTTAGCAGGCATGCTTTAACATATACAGTATATATACACATATATATACATACTCTTGTATAGAGCTATTAATTCATTTTAACAACATCAAAAGCAGTTTCTACGTCAAGCGTGAATGGGGAAAATAAAAATTAACACCTTGAATAGCTAAAGGTGGCCTAAAAGCATAACGCTATGAGAGGCAAATATGAATTGGGTCAAGCAGCAGACTGAGGCAACCACAACAGACCTCTGACCCAGATTTCCTTTTTGCGGTATCGTCTATAATTAGAAGGTCCCCAAACCGCTCATTAGTGATAAATTGATGGTGCGTAGGAATGACCCCTGTGTGCCTTCTAGCTGCAATATCAGCCTCTTCTTGCTCACGTTTAAGCCGTCTCTGGTCCTCTAAAAGTTTCTGCCATAAAATTGCATAAAATGGGCAATAAATCATCTAGTTTATGGCATATGAAAATTGCCAGCAGATTATTAGCAGAACAACAGAAATAAAATTAAAAACCCTCCAAAAGCTAAACACACCCCACCTCTCCAATATATCTTAACGGAAAGTTCAGAGAAGAATCTATGCACGCTAGACCAGATTGACTACATTGCCTACCAGTGTGCTATAGATTTTGTCTAAGAATTGGCACAGCCTCTTTCTTTTTTAAAAAAAGTTTTTAAGAACTCTGCAATGTAGGGCCATGAAAAACTGAAGATTTCTCCTGTATCTCCTGGGTTCAGGATGTGAACGCTGTCGTTTGTGTTGCCATAATATCACAATCCCCACACAAGTGGCAGGCACTGGAGACGGCGAGGACACCAACGTTTGCAGAAATAAGGAAAAATGGGGGAAAATCCCAAGGATGTTCCAAAAGGGATGGTTCAATGAGGACAACCCATGCTCAATGAACCAACCCTGAACCTCGAAGGTGAACTCGCCTTGAACTAACTGTTCAAGGTGAAGAGGAATGGAACGGAAGGGGGGGGGTTCAACACTTCCACTCACCATACCAAGTATGGCCCTTATTTGGTGAATGTGGCAACCACCCTGTTTTTCTCCTTATAGTAAAACTATAGATGTGGGGGAGAGTTTTCTGGTGTCCACCTCCCCAACCCCAAAGTTGGGAAAAAGACCAGGATTTTTTTTTATCTATTTTTGCAGATGCCAAGATGCTGGGGAGGTTAGCAGGACAGGGCTAAATTGGCAAAGCAAAAACCTCCAGGGTAGGAAAGGCAGATGGGGTGGAGTCAGACACAACCTGCCTTTCTTCCAGAAAATTTAGGGCAAGTGCGGGTGGTGGAGAAAGTGTTGGGCACCCCCAAGGCTGAAAGGAGCATTTTCTGGCTGCATTGTCCCAAAGCAGCAAACCTCCTGCCTCCCTCTTCCCTTGGCAAAGACCTAGGTGGTGAGACTGGTCATCGCTATAAGGCATTTGGGATGCCGTTGTGCAGCAGCACCCTAGACAATATGCTCCTCTTGCAGAAGGGATGGTGGTTAAAAAACAAAACTGGTGACTTCAGTTTTTGGCTCAGCCAGCGAAGAAGAGTGCAGGTCTTCCTTTCTGCAATTGGGGAGTTTCAGGTCCAAGACCATCTCTCTCCCAACAGATAATATACCTCTCTGCACATCAGATGTTACGGACTGAAAACAGAAGGCTGTTGCCTTACGAGCTTCCCAGAGGCACCTAGCTGCCTCCTGCTGAACGCAGAATGCGGAGTAAAATGGACCTTTGGTCTCATGAAGCAAGCTAGTCATTTTGTTCTTCTACTGCTCTCTAGATGCTATCAATAGCAAAAGATGTGGCAATCTGACACACCGACTCTGATTCATCTGACTGTATAACTGACATTATACAATGGCTCTTACCAGAGTCATTTCTTTTAAAGAGAGAAAGATCAAATACTATGTGACCCTAATTTTGACAGAGACCGACAAAAATGAATTTAGACATTTTACTTTCCTCTAAAAGTTCAAAAATGCAGAGCAAACATCGAAGAGGCATTTGCACTCAGTCTTGTGCTTTTGTGCCCGTTTTCCAGAACAGTAAAACTAAAGCACATGGAATTGTCTGCTTGCCTGTCTTTTAATAAACTGAGGTGGGGGAGGCAAGAAACTTGAGCACATGGGAAAAATGTGTTTCTGTCATGACATAATTTTTCTGAAGATAGAAATGCAATCTAGGCAGGTTTCATTTTCAGATCACTTCTAATATTTCTAATCTTTTGAAACTTGATCTCTTGCAGTAATGTTTTTACACACAATTTCACTTTAGTGATCAACAGACTCAGCAATTCTATCTTGTGCCCCATTCCCCATGCACTTCCTACTGCAATTGATTCATTGCCATCTGGAAAGGATGATACCTGGCATCTCACCCTTTTCCATTGATGACATTGGGCTTTTGATGCCCAGAGCGCATGCAGAAACCCTGCCCACCCTTCTCTAGTCCAGATGTGAAGCTGAGAAAGGAGAGTATGGCTCCACCACCAAAACCTATGGAGGACTTCCTAAAATAAATTCTGCTGGGTTAAATGAGGATTATTTCTGAACAAATAAATTTACCTGAAGAAAATCTCATGATCCCAATGCAACTTGCTTCCCACTAGACATGCTACTGGACACTGCACAAGAGGGGAAGTGGTAGGACAGCCTATCATTCTTGGCTTCCCTACCAAGCAAAGCTTGTACTGTAAGTCCCAATTGAAATAAGTTACATTTCTTTCTGATACTCTGTATCTAAATTACCACTGTTCTAATTTAATACATTATTGTTCTCAGGACAGCTAATAAAAATCTTAGTCAGAAGAGCATCTTCATTACATTCAAACACTGTCCTGATCACGGCACTGATTGTCTTAAATTTTTTACAGGTTGTGACAGAACAGATTACCTCTTTATCGCTGTGTCGCCTGTGGAAAATATCTTCAGGGCTGTCCATGTAATCGTGTGGTGCAAAATGTCTTGGCGACTCTGAATCTACTTAAAACAATACAGTGTCATTAAAAACAAACTGATTCATCTAAGAGAATGAAGAAAAGAGGAAAGAGAACAAGCTTCAGTTTGACTAATCAACTGACAATCAAATACCAGTAACATTTTGCTTCTTTAGGGTCTCTAAAGGTAGAAGCAAAAAATAAAGCTGAAACAGGAAACAACAAAAACAGAATCCAAGCCCATAAAAGGGACTTAAACATACCTGCCATTCACCAAACAGAATTTAATGTAATATCATTGGGGAAAGTTGCATGATGCATGCAAAGATTACAGATGCACATAAGTGTGTATATACACGTGCAAGTATGCACATGGATGCACACACGCACGCACGCACACACACACACACGCACACACATGCAAAGACACGTGTTAAGAACCTAAAATCCCTGAAGATACATTGGGTTTATTCATTTAGATTCTTGGGAATGCAAATTACAAGGAATTTAAGCCGATTTCCACAAATAATTAACATCCTAACTGCTGGTTTTTGAGATAACCCAGTCTGATTGATGATTAGAAAGGCAGTGGAAAGAATTTCCGAGAAGTTCAGTCAAGCCCTGAAATGCAGGCAGGACGCACAAGGGACGCACTAGAAATGAGATACAGGGTAAGGGATAAAACAGAGGAAAAGCCAGGTGGGATACAGATGAAGTAACACTATTAAAAGTACACAAAAAATGCCACCTCCAAGATACGTCCTGAGTTCTCTTTGTGGGTTGTTGTTTGTGTCCAAGTTGTGGTAAAAATCATAAAGAGCATTCCCATTATTAAATGCAGCTGGAAAGTCCATCGGGGAAATGGAGCGGCTTTGCCAAGTTTCCAGTTCCAGGAAGTGGCTAACCCTTTGGACGATGTCATAGGAAGAAAGGCGTTTGGGGGCTGCGGGTTTCTGCTGGATGTATAACTCATAGAAGAGGGGGCTCTCTCTGTCCACTGGGCTTCCCCTTGACTTAGTAAAAAAATTCTGGCTTTCATAGCTGGATGCCAGCAGGTCTCCGGAACGGTGAACAGAACGAGTAGTCCTTCTGGAATTGCCCTGCAAGGGCTTTTTCAGTTTGAAAGGAAGGGGACTCATAAGGTAGACGTTTCTGGGCAAGTGTTGTTTTTCTCCTTCAGCACTCCCTCCGGCAAACTGCTGCTGCTCATGTCTCCTGATCGTGGTGAACCTTGTGTAGGATGCTGGGCATGATCCTTTGCACTTGTTCATTTTGTGCCTCTGAGGGCTGTTCAGGCTGCTGCTGTCCCCACCAGCACTGTCATTGGATGCATTCGAGAGGAGATCTATCTCCTCAGTGGAAGTCAAGAGGGTGTCCACTGGAGGCACGTCACTGAACTCTGATCTCACATCCTCCGTATTGCTGCAAGAAGGGGAAGAAGTATCTGGTGGGTTGGAACCATCCTCTTCTTCTTCTTCTTCGAGGCACGGCCTGGGAAGATCCAACTCGTATTCAATGGAATACATGGAACCTAGGCAGCTGTTCGAAAGGCTGGGAGCTGGAGATTTGATCCGGGCACTGGAGAAGTTGAGAGCAGGCATCGACAGGGATCTCTGGATCAGCAGCTCAAAGGCAGTGATACGAGAAGAGACGGTGTGCTTGGGGATCTGCTCCAGGTTCTCCCGGCTGGGGCTGGGCTCCTTCCTATCCCTTAATTCATTCTCGAAAAGGGAAGCCATCTCCTTCACACTGCAGGATGAAACAGCACCCAGTTGGATTCCAGAGCGGTCGATCTGGTGCATGTTTTTATACAGCATGGAAAACTCCATCCCATTCTTCTGAGAGCCACGTCTGTTCCCCTTTCTGGAAGAGCCGGAAGAGCCGTACTCCTGCAGGCTCTGCGTGCTGCTGAATTTGGCTGCAAACGCTTGCTTGGATTTCATTAGGGGATGCTCAAAGCTCTTGTCTACCTCTACCATGGAGTCTTTCCTGTTATCAAATAAGGCAAATGAGCTATGGAGATTTTCGCAGCTTTGCGTTTTCTCATGGGGCAAGAGATCTTTTTCCTCTTGCCCAGGAACAGGTAGAGTAGCAAGCCTGGGTTTGAATTTGGATGGAAGGATTTCGCCAATGCAGACTTTTGCAGCAGATAATGTTTTCTTATTATTACACATGGGACCTAGTGGACCAGCACTACTAGAGTTAGGGGTTCGACTATTAACTGAAGAGGGTGCAATCGTACGAGCATTCCCACCTTTACGATCCACTGGAAAGCATGCAGAATAAAATAAACACAACCTGTTAGCTTAAGTGACGCAAAGCTGTTGATAAAGGGGGAGGTGAGTGGGAAGTAACATGCTCTGGGTTTCACACAATGCAATCCTGAGAGAGGCAACATTAAAAAGGAAGGCCAGAAGCAATGAAACAGCCGAGCCGTGCTGCTGAAGTGCACGGAGTGGTTGTGTTCAGGGAGGCAAACCCTGGGACATCAAGGAAGCTTCTAAACTAAGAGGAAAGAGCCAGGCTGAGTCAATCCTGTAACAGGCCAGCACCTATATAGGCGTTATGTTTTAGGACTCTGAAGGATAAAGATAGTAAGAACCCCTGTGCTTGTATTGTGATCAGTTGTGCTTCTGGTTAAAAAAAAATCATGTCTAAGAATGTAACATTACTGTATTGATAGTTGTTGTATGGAAGAGTGTGCCAGCTTTTAGAGTCTTTAATTTAAAAAAAAACACAAACCTTCCTTACTGGTTAAGAGTTCAAATGACAAAAGAAAAGTAGCAAATTCTCAGTGCAAGAGACAACAAAACTGCTAATTATTTCAGCTGCTCCAAAGTTTGTCCAAAGTCAAATTATTTTGTAGCCACATTTTCCCTGGGTTAGATCTTTTGAGATCTTAAGGGGCTAAAAGAAAGCACTCCACACACCATTAGCACTCTAAAAATTCACAATGGAAAGGAACCGTTTGTGTGGGCAAGCACACAGATGAATCCCAATAAGATTTTATTAGTCCCTTCAATCTCACAAAGAGGGTTGCATAACCCATTTGAACACTGGACTGTCAACTGAAATTTATAACCTTGTCAAATACAAAAAAGAAAAAGGAGCAGATCTGGATTTTTTTTTTTTTTGGTTAAAAAATTTGAGGGGGGGGGCCGGGATACACTAGCTTTTATAAGTGACTTTGTTTATAGCCAAAAGGCTTTGTGGATGTCTACAAGAAGAATATTCTAAAAGTAACTTCATTGTTGTTTTGCAAATAACTGAGAATCAGCTGCCCTTCTTCTACCCAATGAACTTATAACTCAAAAGTTTAATTAAATATTTCTCAATATGGGGACCTAACAGAAATATTTTCTTTTTCACTGGCCAGCAACATGCAGCCCACATGTCAGTCTCAGACACTAACATGTAACCTGGGGGCTACTGCTGCAAATGTATGAAGTCTGCATTTATTTAGGTTGCAGTTCCACATGTCCTGATGAGTTGCACAGGACTGATCTGTTTGTTTGTTTTTTAAGTATGCCTCACAGACAAGTTTGGAATGGAAATAGAAAAAAGTAAGATAACCAATCTGTCAACATCCAATTAGCTGTTTTAAACTCTAGCCATTTCTAATTACATGAATAGCGTGGGGTATCTCTCATTACAAGATGTGATTCATAGGAATGCTGTAGCACCGTATCCTGAACTGAAATTGGTTAGGACCTAAGGTGCTCAGTTCTGGTTAAATCAACTATAATTCTGACATGCAGTATTGCAGCTAATTATGTACTTCATTATTTTATTGCCACAGAAATCCTTATGCAACTATTAGTATTATTATTTAGGATATCACAGACTGGAAAGCCATACAGAGTGCAGCAGTGAAATAGTAAGTTGAGCAGGCAAGAACATTTAAAGTTTCCAATTCAGGAAATTATCTGGAGATTAGAGGGATGATAAGCCGAAGAGGGAACTGATTACTGGAATCATACAGAGAAAAACTGCCCAGGGTGGTGTTGTGGGCATGTCAGGATGACAGAGGGAAAGAAAGGAATGTGATGAGAAAGAAGTGTCAAAGTATGAACAAGAGTCAGAGGGAGCATAACTGGGCAATATTTAGAGAGGTGGAAAAATAAGGCAACTCAAAAAAGGGATAGAAGAGTGACATGAAACACCTTCTAAGGCTTAGACAAATACTCAGCTAGAGATGAATCTGTAACCTCCTCACCCCAAATATTAATGGGAAAAATTACTCCCATACAATCTGGGGTGATAATCTGGTGTTAAACCCTGGAAAGAAGAGCAAACAACTGAGAATTAATATATTTACTTTATATTCTGATTTATAAAACTGACAATGGAACCCGAACTTTGGGACCCTTTTTTCTTCCAGATTTTTCCAAATGTATCTTGATTTGCGCATGCAGCTGAATGGACTTCCGCCTCTGTGGAAGTCAACAGTGTGTCCACTGGAGGCACATCACTAAACTCTGATCTGACATCCTCCTATTGCTACAAGAATGGGAAGAAGTGTCAGGAGGGTTGCAAATGTTACCTTCTTCGAAGATGTTACCATTTCAGACTGCACGTGGGTGACTGCTTTTTGGGTGCTTTCTTATTTAATAACAAGAAACAAAAACCCAGGACTGTCACAAGCTTACTGGAAGTGGCAGACATTCCCAAGGTCCTCATTTTTTACTGGGAAGGAAACTGAGGAAGATTGTGTGCACCCCCACACCCACCGCACTTGCAGTATGAAATGATACACTAAGCTATTTTTTTCAGGAGCTAGTCATTATGTCTTGAATAGCCTCAAACAGAATTTGAATCAGGACTGAAATAAAGTAAAAAGAAAAAAAAAGAAAAGAATAAAAACACTTTTAAAATGGGAATAGGAAACAATCTAACCCGATCCTTTTTGCAGTTTCTACCACCAATAACACATGGGCAGTGAAGCATGATGGTTGTTTTCCTGACGCACCTTTTGTGGAAGCTGAACTGGAGGGACGCTTGAGACAACTCAGTCCTTGCAGTGGGATATCACCTCCTTCCAAAACACTTTTGTAAATTTGCCTTTCCTTTTCCAGTCCAATGGGGTCTCCAAGAGCAGCTTCGAAGTCTCTCTTTACTGGATGGTAGCTGGGAGAGTATGGTGAGCTAAAGATATGTAGTGGGAGGGAAAAACCATTGCCTCAGCATTTGAAAAAATAAAAATAAAGTAACTACCTAAGGGAGACGAACAGAGAGAGATGCAAAATTCTGAGGGGCACAAACATCTAACAGATCTAGATTAGACTTCCTCTGTTATAAAGATTAACACAGGCAAAATCTAAGCTTTTCAATGGTATAAAAATAAAGTTATTCATTTGCTTAAGCTGCATATTTCATGCAGTTTGCAACATTTTCTGCTTTGAACAAGCTGTTGGTTTAATCTTCTCATGTCAGGAAACTGTCAGAGGATGCTTCCTATCTGGCACCATGAAGCCCATGGACACAGAACAGTATGGTGGAAATTGGGAGCTGGTCTCACTGAAGCGTATTCTGAAATTTGTCGGCTGTCTCTAATACACGCACGAAACCTTGGCAAAGATGTGTGGACATATGAGTTTGTATACATGTGTTACACAGAAATGCAGGCTGAACTGGACTCTATTAGAAACAAGCATCATATCAGAAGATGTATGAGAGTGAATCAGTGATAGCATAGATCTTGCTGCTTGAATTATTTAACCTACATGCATGAGGAATATAGCTCCAATAATTGACACTAGAGATGGGCTCGAAGCCTCAGTTCAGTGGTTTGTTTATCAGCTGAACGGGTGTTTTGTGCTTCAAAACCCCACCTCTTCCAGTGGTTGCCTACTTAGAGGCACTGCCCCAACTTCTCTGCTCTGCCTCCTCAAAGTGCTGCCTTCTGCTTCTGGCAAACATGCCCAATTGGAAAAAAAAAAACACACTAAAAGTAGACCAGCTTAACAAGAATCTCTTGGCCACTGTCCCCTTTGTTAAGCATGAATGCTCAATGCTGCAAGATGAGGTTCCCAGTTGAAATCCCACTTGGATTTTGAAGGGTTTTGAGGGCAGTAAGGAAGGAAAGTACACTCAAGAGAGTTTTCTACTCAGGATTCTTATTTTAAAAACCCTGTGAATTCAGACCCTGAAGGTCTTGTTTTATTCCTTCTTCCCCACAAAGCAATTCTCATCTAGCTCCTACTTCCATTTCTGTGAGAAATTTTTTTGCTGTCCCAGTTTTTACTCCACAAGGAATTCTGGATTAGTGCTTGAAGAGCTGCTCTGGCTGCTTCCTGCTCCAAATGGTACAAGATAATTTGATTCCTGTGTTCATTCTAGCAATAAGCATTGTTCCTGCTTACTTAGCTGAAATCATCAATCTAAACCTGGAAGTCTCATTAGCCTGAAGAATCAGGCAAACCTGAAATCTCTCTTTCTGAAGCCACAGGTTTCAGTCAATCTCATGAGCCAGTTTGCTTTATGATGTTTTGGATTTTTTGTAAAGGCTTTCACCAAATATCTCTTTTTTCACTGTCTAACTAGATTTACAATGCTATCCAACTCCTCTTCAGAAAGGTCCAATGGGAACCAGGAGAAAGACATCTTTGACAAGTTAGGAGTGTATTTTCTTTTTCTGTATCAAACAAAAAGGTGGCAATGGATTCTGCTTCTGCTTTCCAGAGGCAGAATAAAGAGTTTCTCTCTTTGATACTATCCCATCTTAGAATTCATCAGAATGGAAACTTCATTTTTCCCCTTCCACTTATGCCAGGGTGATGCAGTTTTTAATTTGGAATGCCAAAAAGCAGTTCTAGAAGGCTAGAGACAATGTTTCTGTAAAACACATTGATCAATGATTGCATCAGAGGAGGCAATAAACTGATGCAACAGCTCCTAGTGAGTATATGTATAGATCTCTGGTTCACTATCCTACACAATGATATATTCAAAAGACAAGTCCTATAAGCTACAGAGGCAAAAGACCCCATATGTTCATGCAGAATTAACTATAGTCCCTAGAGGAATAGCCCTAGGATTCATTACAGATAAAATAAAATAAATGCAGTATCTAGTCACATGAACCATGATCACTATGGTTGCCTTTAATGCCACCTGACTGATTATGTCTTGTCTTTGCCAAAAGCATCTGGCAAACACTTGAGGCCCTAATAACATTATCTGATGGGTATGAAAAAAGATCCAGGTTTCTTAGGCTCCTCAGTTGTTCGGGTGAAATGGGAACAGAAGGTTCTCTAACATCCATGTTTTCATATTCCTTAACCTTTGAACAAGAGGATTTCAGGTAAAAACATGGCAAGGCCCCAGTTTCTCACCTACAGGCCAAATTAACCTTGGGAAGAAATGTGGCACATGGATGGGAGATGGAGGAAATTAGTTTCCCTCTTGTTGCACACTAGGATGGCAGCTAAAGTTAACACTTAACACATGGAAATGTTTGCATTTTTCAATACTGTCATGGTGACTTTGCTGACTCTTGTTTGAGAATGGAAGAACTCATAGCTTTCCAATGAACAGCTCAGGCCTTTGAAGCCATTCTGGTCTCCTGGTGTGTGCCTGCAAGGACCAAAATACTAACATGACTGCCTTCAGTGCCAGCAAATGTGTTACATCTTGATTATGACAAAACATCTGATCAGTACCTGAAGGCATCGTTTCCAAACCGATAAATGCTCCAAAACACGAATAGAAATCTCAAAAAGTAGTTTTCAATACTTACTGATGCATATGATCTGGAATTGCTTCCAATGGAGAGGAGTTTGCTGTACTCTGCAAGGATAAAGACAAAATGTCATTGTTGCAACAAGCACAAAACAAAACTTCACTTCAGTAATCTGCATCAATAGCTGTAAACTTTCATCTTTTGTTTTGGTATACACCAATTCCGATGCCAGAATGTGCAGAGGAGAAACAGCTCTGTAACTTCTGCTTATTGGTGTCATGAATTTAGCACAATTCACACTGTAGGCCAAGCTACCCTTTCCCCCCACACACACACACTTTTGTCTGTGGTTGTCTTATTTTAAAGGAGGCTTTAAGGAGCACATCAGTAAATAACCTGTTTCATGGTGGATACCTTATTAAGCACCTAATGCTCATAAGAAGATGGTCTTTTTGAAACTAGTTCCTTCTCAACAGGGCAAACTATACAGATGTGAGGGCTGAAAAGGCAGACTCCAGCTCTTGATGTGGATGCAGATGTTCTTAGCTTGCCGCAGCATTTCAGCTTGCAACACCAAAACATGAGATTAAAATGCTTTCATCCAGTATGGAATGGGGACTTCTTTGGTAAGAACACCAAAACATGAGATTAAAATGCTTTCGTCCTGAGGTGACCAGCAGTATGGAATGGGGACTTCTTTGGTCAAGATAGGGGTGGGGTAGAGGAGTCAATTCACCTCTTCCCCCATTTCAGTTCTGATTCTATTTAGGCAGCTACTTCCTATTTGTCAAACAGGGGCTGTAAATCCAAATACACATTTAATTAAGATCCAAATCCTGTAGCAAAAATATTACACAAGCAAGGGCAATTGTACAGCGGCTCCCCTCTCTGGTGGGCTGTTCTTCATGCAATCATGTCTCCTATTTCACAACCTATGCATGAAGGACAGCCTGCCAGTGGGTGGGACGGACTGCGTGATTCCTTTTGCATTCCACATTTCCTCAGCAGGACTGTGGGCTGATTTGGATTTCCTTCTTCTTCTCTTACACAAACAAAAATGAGAAAAACTCTTGCTGCACCCACATCACAAGGCCTTTTGATGCACAAAACGTCTGAGGATGGGGAAGGTACCTGTCTTATAATGGCTGTTCACTGTTGCCAAATGGAAAAATAACATTCACACTGTCTGTATCTGAACAGATTAGGAAACCACGAGCAGATGTCTAACTATGCAGAATACCAAGATCCAGAAAAAGCAGAATGGAACCATATAAGACAAATCTGTGGAATAATGGAATTTATTGATTATTGGGATAATAATTATTATCTAATATACATGGTTTTTTCTCTTTTCCATTTTTTAAAAGAGAGTGCAACTACGAAGATGTCCCACGGCTGCAAGATAAAGTGGAATAGCATGGTGGGGAAGGATTGAGGGTCTCTTAAGATCTGAATGTCTTTGTTCCCCTGCCAGAGACCCCAAATAGGAAAACGTTATGCCAGTCTTAGCACTGACATAGTGAATCTCCTTCCCATGGAAACTGGTGAGAAGGGGAAAGGTTTAAGGAAAAAAAAACATAAATAAAACCCCAACAAGTTAAATGGAACGAAAGAAGGTAAAAACACGAGTGGCTGACCGATCTTGGTAACCTTGGAAGTGAGTTTCTCCACAAAGGACTCCACCACTCATAGGATTAACTGTGCTTCATATTTTTGTAAAGTACAGTGAGTCTGTATACAAAGAAATTATTTCCTCACTTTTGATCTGTTTTTATCTTCAATGTACTACAAGGGAAGTTAAAATACAGTATATCACAGAAGTGAGTACACCCCCTCACATTTCATAAATATTTTGGTATCTCTTCATGTGACAACACTGAAGAAATGACACTTGGCTACAATGTAAAGCAATGAGTAGACAGCTTGTATAACAGTGTAAATGTGCTGTCCCCTCAAAATAACGCAACACACAGCCATTAATGTCTAAAGCGCTGGCAACAAAAATGAGTACATCCCTACGTGACAATTGGGCACAGTGTCAATATTTTGTGTGGCCACCATTATTTTCCAGCACCACCTTAACCCTCTTGGGCATAGAGTTCACCAGAGCTTTGCAGGTTGCCACTAGAGTCTTCCTCCATGATGACATCACAGAACTGGTGGATGTTAGTGACCTTGCACACCTCCACCTTCCATTTCAGGATGCCCCACAGATGCTTAATAGGGTTTAGGTCTGGAGACATGCTTGGCCAGTCCATCACCTTTACCCTCAGCTTCTTTAGCAAGGCAGTGGTCGTTTTGGAGGTGTGTTCGGGGTCATTATCATGTTGCAATACTGTCCTGCGGCCCAGTCTCCAAATGCTCTGCTTCAGTATGTCACAGTACATGTTGGCATTCATGGTTCCCTCAATGAACTGTAGCTCCCTAGTGTTGGCAGCACTCAGGCAGCCCCAGACCATGACACTCCCACCACCATGCTTGACTGTAGGCACCACACACTTGTCTTTGTACTCCTCGCCTGGTTGCCGCCACACAGGCTTGACACCATCTGAACCAAATAAGTTTATCTTTGTCTCATCGGACCACAGGACATGGTTCCAGAAGTCCATGTCCTTAGTCTGCTTGTCTGTAGCAAACCGTATGCAAGCTTTCTTGTGCATCATCTTTAAAAGAGACCTCCTGCTGGGATGACAGCCATGGAGACCAATTTGATGCAGTGTGCGGCATATGGTCTGAGCACTGACAGGCTGAATCCCCACCCCACCCCTTCAACCTCTGCAGCAATGCTGGCAGCATTCATACGTCCAAAGCCAACCTTTGGATATGATGCTGAGCATGGGCACTCAGCTTCTTTGACCAACCATGGTGAGGCCTGTTCTGAGTGGAACCTGTCCTGTTAAACCGCTGTATAGGCTTGGCCACTGTGCTGCAGCTCAGTTTCAGGGGTTTGGCAATCTTCCTATGGCCTAGGCCATCTTTATGTAGAGCAACAATTCGTTTCTACACATCCTCAGATAGTTCATGACCCCAAGGTGCCATGTGGAACTTCCGGTGACCAATCTGAGAGAGTGAGAATGATAAAACCTACTCCCCCTTCACACCTGAGACTTGTGACACTAATGGGTCTCATGACACCAGGGAGGGAAAATGGCTACTTGGGCCGAATTTGGACAGTGTTACTTAGGGGTGTACTCATTTTTGTTGCCAGCAGTTTAGATATTAATGGCTGTGTGTTGTGTTATTTTGAGGGGACAGCACATTTACACTGTTATACAAGCTGTCTACTCACTGCTTTACATTGTAGCCAAGTGTCATTTCTTCAGTGTTGTCACATTAAAAGTTATACTAAAATATTTATGAAATGTGAGGGGGGGTACTCGCTTCTGTGATACACTGTATATGTAAGTAACATATCTTGTTTCTCTGTAAAAAAATGGGGGAAGGACTTAGAAATGCTTTGGTATGAAAAAAGATCCCCACTCTGTGTGCGCGCATCTACATGAACGCACACAGACAAGGGTCCTCTTACAGAAATGGAACAAATATGTACTCATGTGCTGGCCTTTTGAGATATGCAAGATGATGTTATTGATTAGGAGCAGGAATCTTAAGCACATTTCATCAGTCAATTTGTAGGAAGAGCTGTGTTTTTTAAATTAGATTTTATTGCTACCAACATGTCAGTACGGGTCAAGAGGGTTTCATCAAATTTCGCAGCAATTTACACTGTCATTTTTGACAAGCGACACACCACAATAAACAGTGAAAACATTGGGAATATCTGAATGCAGTCATGAATTATAATTTATAATTTGAGAAGCAAGCCTAAGTAAACCTCAGGGTCCTCTCACTCTCTCTGGGAAAGCCACAAGGAGGCCAAAAGCTTTGCTTTTGTTTTTGGTTTACCACAGTCTAGTTTTAAGAGTCATTTACTAAAACAAGCCAACTTCAAACATGGTTTATGAAGCTGGTTAATTTAAAAAAAAACTATTAAGACTAACCACCATTTAAATTTAGATGAAACGCTAAGCTGTGGTCAATCAAGACAGCCAGTGGGGAACAGCAGATGACAGACCAAGGTTTAGGAGATATGGTAATAAATCACTGTTCAGCCATGAAAACTTACTAGGGGAGGCAATGGTAAAACCACGCCTTAAAAAACTCACACACTTTGAAAAACCCTATAAGGTTCATCATTGATTGGATGTAGCCTAATGGGACACGGAAAAATATGGCCAATCAAAAATGGAAATGGAAAGCTTTCTCTTATAGGCATGCAAAAACCAGCGCTCCTGCCTTTGGGAGGAGAGTCCTTAAACATCTGCCAATCCATGGGAGCACTGATTAAGAGAAAGTGACTCCTGCGGCCTGCTGGCTGCTCTCCCTGTGGGACCTTGGCCTGTGGACCTCCTACTTTCTTGCAGGACTGGGGCCTCACTGTAACAGGCTGCCTCTGCCTTCCCCTCTCATTCACATCTACCACCTGGCTCTGGGGGAAGGAGTCTTTATAAGCAGAATTTCTGCAGGTGTGGACCTGCCACCAGTGGGGGTACCATTGAAGAGGGTGACATGGGGGTGGATTGCCCTTTGGGAGAGACACAAGGGCCAGGTCCTTGGTTTTTTTGGAGTTTTGTTTGTTTGTTTGTTTTGCAAATAGGGACTCATTTTTTATTTGCCTGCCACTATTTGTGCATTGACAAAGGTCACTATCTGTTGTGGGAGGTATGTGTTTTTCAAATAGGGAAGGCAGTGAGAGTGAACAGGGAGTTGCCATTGGTGCTATGCTGGGTAAAAGGAAATATGGAGAAAGGAGACAACTGCATTATTATAGGAGAGGGGAAGGAATAGGATCCTGGTTACCCCCAAATTGTCTCCCAATTCAGTCAGTCTGATTTGCCTTGGCAATAGTTCCTCTGGGTTAAAAATGCTTCTATTGAATGCTAGGTCAGTGAAAGGGAAAACATCAGCCATCTAGGACGTGCTCCTGGATGAACATGCTGACCTGGCCTGTATTTCAGAGACCTGTTGGTGTACCATCCGCCCCACTGCTCAACAATATGAACCTGAGGTTCACCTACTCTGATTCTTAGAACAATAAATTATCCTTTAGAATTATGCCTGAATGCATGCATTATGTATTAGTATTTATAACAACCTTGTTTTCTTATTCAGTAGCAAGTAGATGAAAGCACAGAGTTTAGGACAAAGGGTTGGCAGCATAAAACTAAGGAGAAATACCTTTTGTTGCTTTTTTTCTTGTGCTTTATAAAGCTTCTCCATTTTTTCTATATCTGCCTCTAACTCAGTCTGGTAGAGGTAGATGTCTTTTTCTGGATCAGTCTGGTTAAAGATGAAAGAAGAACAGGAGGGGGAAACAATGCTTGCATTAGACAAAAGGGAGAAAAATTAATTCTGAAAAGCAAAGCATTTTTTTAAAGGTCAAAAAATGTATAGGCACAACAAAATTCCAACTCCCTTCTCAAAACTCAAATACATGATTGGCTTAGGTACACTGTTGTCAAGATCTAGTGTTAAATCATATGTATTTCTTCACAACTCACTGTAAAATGCATTCATACTGTATAATCATTGCAAAACTTTGTTAGTATAATTATCACTAGAGATCACAAGAGATGTGATCTAATGAAGATAACAAGGAATATTTTAAAGATTCCTTATAGCCTGTGACACTCTGCAATGCGTTCAAGTTCAATTAAATTCAAAGCACCAACTTGCACTCACAGAAAGTCCAAACATTGCTAGAGACTGAAAGCTAAAGCCACACATACAAACAAAAAGCCATACCATAGTACAACGTATGTTTGAATTTACCTTTCTATCCTCTCTAGTAAGGATAGAGCAATCTCCAGGAGTATAATCCCATATCTTTTTTGGAGGCTGATGGGAAGCAGAATAGGAAATGAGGAAATGAAGATAAGGAAAGACATCACAGAGAAAATGGAAACTTAATTAGAACAAAGGGAGTACATTGGGGGGGGGAACTGTATCAGCACTAGAAACAAAATTGAAGAAGGAATGGAAAGGAAGAGGAGGTAAACCTGGCAGAGTACAAACACAGGAGATTATGGGAAGAGGACAGAGGCTGCATGCAGCTGGTAGCCAGGCTTCCTTTAAATTTTCCTTCAACCCCGTTTAATTTGCTTTAGGGATTCTGCTTTTCCCACAGGCACACATGACAGGGATAAAAAGCATTTAAAACACGATTTGCTAAACAAACCAAATCAGATTAATGGAACTGCTTACTCTCCTTCTGCAAGGGAAAGTGTATAGCAAGGACTTTAAAACGAAGCAAACAGTAGTTTTTTTTTTTCAATGTAAACCCCCAGCCCTCTTCCGGGGACTGAAATACATACCACGTTAACAAATGGCTGAGTTTCCAGAGTTGGCAGTGTGGGGCAATGAGAATGCAGAGTTATTCATTTTAGTTCTTTATGCTAGATATTGATATTTTGTAAATGGGATTAAGTGAGAGAAAGTATTTTTTTTCCAGAACACAAGAATCATCTTAGAGTGGATTCCAGGCCCCAACAGATCAGAATTTGGAAGACGCTCCACAGGGCTGTGATTACAGTGAAAAACAGGGCAAGTAGTCATCAAAGCCAGTAGCAGTGATGATGGAAGAACTGTGGGGGAATGAAAAATCTTGTGGGGTAGAGGGCAGTGCAAATTGTTTCAAGGCTGCCAGGCCTTCCCATGATATGCCAGTCACAGAGATTTCTTTCTTGACCCAATGTGTCAGGTATGTGTTCAATCCAAGAATCGCAGCAGATCCTTTTTGAAGAATTTCACTTCTCACTTTACCAATAGAGGAGGGAATTCTTTAAGGGCTGACAGTGTGTGATTGTCACACCTAGAGTTTTTCTCACCTCCTCTAAACTTGCTTTGTTTTGTGACTGGTCTTCTCAACATGAATATCTCCTTGGTTTGCAAACTGATTTTTAAGACATGAAAGATTACCCAAACTATCCCTCTTAATATATATGATTTCAGCTCTCATGGGTTGTATGCAGGATAGTGGGGTCCTTACAGAAAACATGTTTCTGCAGCTAAGTATTTTCATGATGTTTGTGTTTCCTTCACACCAGGGTGTCTCCACCGTACAGAATTATCAGCTGCCCTAAGAGGCTTCTGTGTTCCCAAATCCTCTTGTCTGCTTTGATTGTGGAAATCTGAGCAACTGATATGTGAGTTAGAGACCACAATGAATGATCTTTTACACTAAATATGTGAACTTACAGTTATGTTCTAAGCTGCTAGCTGATTATGTCAGGACACCAATCTCGAAAGGTGTAAATGAGTTCTGAGCACAGATTTTTAATGTGAAAAGCAAGGGTGTTTTTAAAGGATCCATCTTCTCAAAACTTTCCCTATCCTGTCTGTTGTGCATATGAATACATAGGAAGACCTTCATTCCCCAAAACTACCCTCTGCTCATAATTCTACATTGGGACCAGCACAGAGCAATTTGCTGGCTGCATGCAGTTCCCATTACTGTGCCCATGTCAAAAAAATTGCCAAAAAAGAAAAAAGGAATAGTAGGGAGAACGTCCAGGAGCAGCTGTTCTCCTTAAGAAAAGAGAAAACCAGCACATGTTGTCTCATGTGCTGTTTTTGAAAGTGTTCTTGTTTGTTTTTGCAAAACCAGACATGGACTCTTGGTCCCATCCCGTTTCCTCTTTCACTTCATTCACATGTCCATGGGGTGGTGCAGCAATGGGTCCTAGGGTAAAAAGATTGGCTGCAACCCCCAGAACATGCCACTTAGTGCAAAGATCCTTGCCTGATCACGCATCATCCAGATAGAATTAGGATGGAGTCAGTGGTCATGTGGCATATTGGCACATTGATACTAAAAACATGAGAAAAAGTTGTCAAGATGTACTGGAAGTCAAATCTGGACTGCTAGACAGCAGGTCAAAAGCAAGGACCTCCTAAATATTTTTTTCTGAAATCTTATCTGTTACATCATCATGGCCACCAAGACAGGCAACGCTGAGGATGGATGAGACAGGTTTGTAGGCTCTGAGGTTGTGAGACACTGAAGGATCTCGAAGGTCTGCAGATAATACATAAGGAGTAAGAAACCAACTTGGAAGTCAGTTGGAGCACTGGATCACCAGACAATTAAAGAAGCAATAAAGAAGGATAAGAAAATCATAGAGAAGCCGAGTAAGTACTTTTTGCTTTCTTGACTGTGTAAGATTCAGCAGAAACCCATGCCTGAATTGCTGTTTTCAAGAAGGGACAGTGAGAACTTGAGGCAAACAATAATGACAAGAGAAGTATTTCTAGATTTTACTGAAAAGTTAAATGCCAACAGATCACTAGGTAGAAATGCGAGTTCTTAAGGATCTCAAATGAGAAACTGATTGTCTAGCAAAAGCATTTTGTGTGTCTCTGATATCTGCCTCTGTACCAAAGGACTGAAGAGTAGACAGTACAATGACAATAATTAAAAAGGATTCAAGGAGGTCTGGGAATTTACAGACCAGAATGCATTTCTTGTGATTTTGATCTTTGCCACATTTAGCCAAAGGCCATTGCAATTTTGTAAACAATTTAACAAAAATAATCCACACAAAGACAAAAAAGAATACTGTCTACTTTGTAGTTTTAAACTACTGTACTTTTAAATTGCAGCAGACTGTCCATACACCAAATATATTGGGAAACATTATAATTAATAACTAAGAATTTTAAAAGCCATTAATAAAATCATCACGTCACTTTCTTCCAGCTCTGCATTTTTTGATTCTATATGCAATGTATACATAGGTATCCCTCTTGCTATCTCTATTTCACCCGGTTTTGATTATGCTCATTATGTCCAAGCATTCTACTTCCTATATCTTGGCTTGGAGGCTACTAGCATGGGCATATAAAAACCTGCAGAAAACTAATTTAGATGTTCCCAGCCTGTGCATTTTCCCTTGCAGCCTTTGCCTTCCCACACTGCTTTTCACACCCTGAAGCAATTTTAGATAAAGCTGTCATCCTGGCATCACTTTGCTCTGTTGACAGATTTTTTAAAATAGAGTTTCATGAGGCATTGCCATCAACTTGTTTACAAGTTGAAATTAAATTACTTGTGCTCTACAGCTTCCTTCAACGAAAAACCAATTTGCTTTTCTCTTAAAAGTGATGACAAGTCAGAGGTATATAGAAAGAACAAGTGCAATGTTACTCTGCTATTTTTGAAAGGAGTGGTTTTTTTAAAACACCAAACTTCTATGGATTACACTATTCTAAAAGGTTTTTCCTTTGTGTTATACCTTCTTACATCAGAAACAGAGATGGGCACCAACTGGAAAACTGGCAGGTTGTGATGATTTGTGGCTGTCCACAAACCACGGACTATCACAAACCCCTGAAAAATGAACCAGTTCACGGTTCATTTTTTGGGTTCATGCTGGGGGGCAGCATCCCCTTCCCACTGCCCCATCACCTCCCTCTCTCATCCTGTTGCCACCACTGTTGTTGTGAGAGGCAGCGGCTGGCTGGAAGCCAACCCACTGTCTCTGCGCATGCCTTTGCCTATCAGCTGACTGGTGGGCACAAGCAAGCACAGAGGCAGTGGGTCCAGTTCCTGGAAGGCAACCTTAACAAAGCTCCCTACCTGGTGGGGTCAGGTAGAGGGACAACAGGGGTGAGTAGGAAGGAGGCGGGCAGGCATCCGTTTTGCCAAAGAAAAATGAAACACCAAGAGGAAAAACGTTCTGAGCTTTGTTTTGCTTCACCACAACAGGACCCCCAAACTGGGTTGAAAATAAAACCATGGAGTAGCTTGATTTGTCAGTTTTTCTGGTACATGGTTCAGTTTGTGCCCATCTCTAATTAGAAACCTGTGGACAGGTACTGTTTCTTTCAACTGACAGTTCTGCAGGTCGCTCAAAGATCCCTTTTAGAAGAGAAGTAGGATAAGAATGAAAATGTAACAGATTAGGCATCAGAATTCTGATCACATTTTTGTTCATGTGCGTGTAAACTCCTTCTACACACCTGCTTGTCCCCAAAAGTCTCCTGGTAACCTAAAAAATCCCTCCTCACCATCTCATTTGTGCATTGGCATCCTTCAGCTCCATCTGTGCAACTGAAATCTTTGGGCAGAATGGGTGGTATTTCTGAAGAAGCGGCCTTCAAGGTCATGGATTAGAAATCCCTATTGAGAAACTGATAGTTTACTTCTACATCCACATAACTACATTTCCTCACGTCTTTGGTGCCAAGTTACACACTACCCAGTATTATCTAGCGGCTTAACTAGATGAGGTGAGACATCTTTAACTTTTGCATCAGTAAACCAAGGCACCAAAAGATTTACACAACTCACAGAACCTCAGTCTCTCTGTGTTCCTGAAGAACGAACTGCACATTGGTGGGAGCTCTCTGGTTCCTGGCGATGAATGCTTGGTACAAGAGGAATTACTCAGACATCCCGTTTCTGTCCCTCTAAGCTTCTCAGGACAGCTACATTGGCCTCAAGGGAACACAATTTCTTCCTGACAGCCATGAGAATGCACTCACTCATCCAAGCAGATGGCTGTAACAAGACTTTCTGTAAAAGAAACTCCTACCCCCCCCAATAGGAATCTATCATAACTATTTTGTTTCTTAGATTTGCTTATTCTTAATGTTAAGTCAATAAAGATAAAGGTGGGGGGTTGGCTGCTCTGGTCTCCTCATTAGGCAAAATTGACACTGGTCCAGAACATATTCTGGAGTGCAGACATATGTAAACTCTAGCCTTTCATCCAAGCTGCTCAAGGAGGTCTGCATGGAATAAATGCTTGAAAAGCAGGAAATGGACATAACTTTGTCAAGACATAAGGAGAAATTGTGTTTCATAGAAAACTTTGTTTTACTTGCCCTAAATTAGCACCTTTTGACCAGTTATATATATCTGTCTTCCACATCCACCATTTCATTCAACAGGCACATGTAGCTTATGTTCATTTTGGAGGCAGCACAATCCCTTCACACGTTTTGAAGTTGAACCTCATCTGCTACTCAGCCCGCAGATTGCCGCTGCCTAACGGGCACACTCGTCCTTGAACAGGAAACCCATGTAGTTCAAAGGGATCATGAAACAGGAATTTCAGTCATGGAACATCTGCAGTGGTAAACCAATGGGACCAACTGCTGAAATTCTCTCCTCTTAATTGCTTCCATCTTTTAAAGGCAAATGGGTGTGAAAAACAAGAGAAACAAGCATTCAGTTTGTTTGAAATCTAACCAGTCACTTTTAATACAACTGGGCCTGCGTTGTGTATTTTCAGAACCCAGCAAGCCACCAATTCCTGAGTATTTGCTGGGGGGTGGGTTGTAATCTTGATCTGGCCCTCTTGAACCACCACAAGGAATGGTAAATAACAACTGATACAATTTGTTTAGCATCTTTTAAAACTGAAAAATGCTGTTTTGGTAATAGTGTTTGGAATTCAGTCCATGGTATCTGTGCTCATTCAGATGAATTAATATCTCACAGTAAAAAGGGGGCACTTCCAACTTTCTATATTCCCTGGAGGACATTCCACCTTACCCCATCTGACAGTCTGGGCCCAATATAATTGACCTTCTCCTGAAGAAGGAACTAGTCAGTCTCTCAATTTCCACAATCCAAAGATATGTACAAAAATATGAAACTACAGAATGGTTGTTGTGGGTTTTTTGGGCTCTTTGGCCGTGTTCTGAAGGTTGTTCTTCCTAACGTTTTGCCAGTCTCTGTGGCCGGCATCTTCAGAGGACAGCACTCTGTACTCT